CTGCAGCCCTCAACTAACCCATGAAGGATGCACATGGCTGAAATCCTAATGGCTCAGGGCCAGAAGGTCTCTGAGAAATACCTAGAAATAAATCACTTCTTCTCCCCTGCCTTTACCTCCGGCCCCCTGCCATGCCACAAACTGGGCCAAACCTCACTATACGTGAGACCACATGGTTCTTTCCCCTTCCCTATCCTGCTTTTCTTACTCTCTTGTCAGTTTTTCCTAGAGAGCACCCCCTCAATAAATCACCCATAAGAAATCCCGGTCTCATATCCTGCTTCTTCTAGGATACCCAATTTAAGACATCTAGTGATAAAAATAAAAACAAATAAAATGACACATACAGAAAAGACTCATGACCTGAAAAGTCTACACAATATTAAAAAATTATTGTAATTATAACACCAAAATTTGGCATTACCAAAAATCCAATCTAGTTTGGGGTCCCTGAACTATCAAGTCTATGGAATCCCACATAAATTAACAACCTTTGGACCTAAAGACAAAGGTCTCAATTGCTTTTACCTATTCTCTAGATCCCCCAGAATCTGGCCTATATATCCTCCTGTTATTTTCTAAAATGAACCTCCACCACAATCACACAGATCGACACTGTTCCCTGTTACCCTCTGCTCATACCCCTATGCCTAAAGAACCCTCCACAACCCAATCTTAACTTCTTTTCTAGTCCTGCCTATTGCAAAGCCCAGGTCAAAATAATAATGTGCTACATATCACATCACATATGAGGAAAACCAATCAAGTTACACGTCTATGTATACTGTAATAAGAGCAAATTGAACAAATTTTCCTGAAAATTGCCAATCTTAAAAAAAAAAAAAAACACATACACACTCAAAAAATATTGGCATTTCATTTCATTCCAAGTGGAATTTTCTATGCTAAAATAAAACATCACTAAAATTAACTTCATATTTAAAGTATACTTATTGAATTCCATACTTAAACTCAAGTGATCAGTTGGTCTGAAGCTTTCCAAATGCTTTATTTCTGTCAATCTTTAGGTGAAGATATTCAACTTTTTTTTAGCAGAAAAATCTTTTTACAAATTCAATTATAATGCAAAAGCCCAAAAAACAGAGTTGTGCCAGCTCAAGTAGCAAAGGACTCCAAGAACCAGAACCATGCATGCAACTTCACCTACTCCTACCCTTCCCAGGATCCTCTGCTTATCAGTTTGAAAGCTATACTCATCTAGTCCAATTTCCTCATTTTGCAGATGAGTATGAAATAAATGAAATTATAACAGCCGTATTCTTGGTCTCCTGATTCCCTATAAGCTGCATTATGAACTTTCATCACCAGGCTTTTTTATCTATTGATACTCAAGTATCTTTTGGAAGGCATCTACAGATATCCGACAGAGTACAAGGTTTTTACTGAGCTACTGAGCTGATATTAGCAAACAGAACTTATAAATCATATTAGGCATTTTGTTTATCAAAATTAAGAATTGATGCCAGAAACTATAACTGGGTAATTTGAAAATATCCTAAGAGTCTATATCTTAAAGTGCAAAAGGAAAGCCTTTAAGTGCCCCATGAGTTTTAATGAACAGTAGATACACTAGAATAGTATTATAAGCTATCATTTGGGGGCAGTTTCTCTAATCCTATGCTTCTAACAATTCAAAAATAGCAAAATATGTAATACAAGAGGTATACTCTCACATTCTTATAACAGCATAATTTTGTGATATCAATGAAGAAAATATCTGCATTCACAAGCTGAAAACATAAATGTGAACAAGGCTTTAGAAAGAATTTCTTTCTTTACCTCACACCAAGGAAACCAGCATCCCATCACAGGCGCACAATTATGCCGGGCAAGATATGAGAAAAACACTGATTTTGGACTTCATAATCATTAAAATATGATGTGTTTTAAAGAATCATATGGAGAAGAAGAGAAAGGCTTCTTTGTTCCTTCCAAAAACAAAACCCTAAGTTAATCATTCAAAGAAAGTAGCCTCACAGGTAAACATATTCTTACCAAAGAACATTGGAATATCCAACTTATCTTCCCTGTCTACTTTTCTCTTAATCATAACAATATAGACAGCATAGAGCATGGCTCCAACGAGAGACCAAATGGAACCTGTAAAAATCAACATAATGAATTAAAGTATTTGTTCATTAACTCATTCAACAGACACTTAAAATCTAACAATGTGTCAGATGCTATTTCAAGAAGTACAGAAATATGGAAAGATAAAGTATAGCCTACCCCCTCCCATGTCCTCCAGGAGTATACGAAGAAGTTTATTTTTTATTTATTTTTTTTACGAAGAAGTTTAAAGAGTTAATAAACACATGCAAAAACAGCCAATGATCTAGCCAAACACGCATGTTATAATATTAAAACTCTCATAAGTAGCACATTGTTTTTTAATTTTGAAGTCTACTTCCTATTTTTCTCTACATAAACAATTTGACACCTGACACTGGTTTCTTTCCATCTCTAAGCCAGGTCTCCCCTGCCATGTATCATCTTTAATATATATTCTTCTACCATCTTCAAGGCCCAGTTAAAGCATCCCCCTCTGCCACAAAGCATCCTCCACCTCCTCCACTAAGTTTTCATCCTCGTCTTCTATTTTAGATCGATTTAATACTTACGTGGTTAAACACAGCAGTATTATTTTTTTTTAAGATTTTATTTATTCATGAGACACACACACACAGAGGCAGACACACAGGCAGAGGGAAAAGCAGGCTCCATGCAGGGAGCCTGATGCGGGACTTGATCTCCAGACCCTGGGATCACGACCTGAGCCAAAGGCAGACGCTCAACCACTGAACCACCCAGGTGTCCCTAAACACAGTATTATTTATTCTCTAGTGGTTTCATTTTGTAAATCTCGTATAATAATTAAAATCAAGAACTCCCTTGAAAACTGCAAACACATTATTTATACTTTTTAATGTTCTAAAATATCTAATATAATATAGGGTTTATAGTACAGGCATAATAAATACTGATTCTCTTAATGTGTTAACTCATTCTCAAAACATTTAAGTAAGCCTTTAAAAACAGTTAAATTAATGTTCTGTCTGCCAAGTGACCACACTTAATACTTTAATTATCCAAAAGTCCAGTGTTTTATTAAATCTATTTTTAAATTTTAAAACATTTTTTAAAAAGCAAAAAGAAAGCCTATCAAAAAAAATCTCACACATACACAACAAATACATGTATTGTTTTACATATACAAAGCTGTTCTGAGTGAGAAAGAGGAGAAGAGGTGATATAGTTCAAGGCATGGCTGGCTCACTGGGCAGTTTAGAAAGCACCTTTCCATTCAACAAACTTTAAATATTTAAACAGGGATCCCTGGGTGGCGCAGCGGTTTGGCGCCTGCATTTGGCCTAGGGTGCGATCCTGGAGACCCGGGATCAAATCCCACATCGGGCTCCCGGTGCATGGAGCCTTCTTCTCCCTCTGCCTGTGTCTCTGCCTCTCTCTCTCTCTCTGTGACTATCATAAGTAAATAAAAATTAAAAAAAAATTAAATATTTAAACAAAATATCCATAGGGAAGTCATTAAACTGGGTTCTGATTATTTTTGTTTTGGTTTAATCTAAACAACAGATCAAAACTGAGTATGCACCATAGCAGTAAATGTTGCAGGCAAGAAGCATGAGTGAATCATAAAATTTGTGGGTGCAAGTTTAACAGAAACAGAGTATCTGCATAGTCTCAAAGTATCTCCCTACAAGATGCTTACTACTTACAAACAAAAAAATTAGTAACTTTACACTGGAGCAACCTGGCAGACACCATCTTAAAATTAACTAGTCACTTGTAATGGAACAACATCATGTGCCTTCTGATACAATGTGCTAATACAATGTGCTAATGTGCTTCTGATACACTTCCATGGCATTCTTACCAAAAGTACACAACATACTTACTTCCTTAACCATAAGGAAGTACCAGACAAACCAAAAGTGAGGAACATTCCACAAAACAACTGGAACAGTATCCCTTAAAAGTGTTAAGGGTATAAAAACCCAAAAAGAAAAACAAAAACAAAAGAAGACTGAGGGGGGATCCCTGGGTGGTTTGGCGACTGCCTTTGGCGCAGGGCACGATCCTGGAGTCCCAGGATCGAGTCCCATGTCGGGCTCCCTGCATGGAGTCTGCTTCTCCCTCTGCCTGTATCTCTGCCTCTCTCTCTTTATGTCTATCGTGAATAAATAAATAAAAATCTTAAAAAAAAAAAAAAAAGAAGACTGAGGGACAGTTCCAGATTAAAGGAAACTAAAGAGATGTGAAAACTAACTGCAACAAGTGATACTGGGGTAGAAAAAGAACATTAGAGGAAAAAAAGGTGAGATTTGAAAAGGATATACAGACTAAATAACTTAATTATCATCAACGTTGGGGCGACAGGGTGGTTCAGTTGGTTAAACGATCACTTGATTTTGGCTCAGGTCATGATGTCAGAGTTGTAAGACTGAGCCCACATCAGGGTTGGCACTGGGCATGCAGCCTGCTTCAGATTCTCTCCTTCCCTCTCCCTCTTGTCCCTCCCTCAGACTCCCTCCCTCTCCTTCTCTAAAAAAAAAATATATATATATATATATATATATATATATATATATATATTATAATCAATGATAATTCCTGATTTTTATAACTGTACTGCAGTTATGTACCTAGCAGAGAATCTGAGTGAAGGCTACATGAGAATTCTGTGAACTATTTTTGAAATTTTTTACATTATTTCCAAAGGAAAAGTTTCAAAAAGGCCTCATTTAGTGCCTATCCTGTGTGTGTGCACACACATGCACACAAGGACACAAATAATGACATGTACAAAATTTTCTTGTATACTCTTAAGAGAAAGAATGTGGAGTCACAGTACTTACCTATTGTATCTCTTCCAGCAGATTTTTCAGACCCTGACAAGTTTACCAGCACAACACCTCCAATGCTATGAGAATAACAGTAATACTGATAAGCAAATAGTAAATTCCTTAAAGGAGCTAATAATAAAGATAAAAATTATTTATAAGCGATGTAGACTACTCTCAAAGTAGGGTAAAACTATATTTGTCAAAGAATTTAGTGATTTAATTAATAATATCTAACAATATTAACAGGACAGTGTAAGTGCTATACTTGTATTCATTTAATTCAAAATGTACAAATTACCTCAAAATAAAGGTACTGTTTAGTATAAAACTACTATTTTATAAAATTACCATTTTATACTAATGTACAAACATACAAAGTAACTTGACCAAAATCACTTAGCTGGGACTGGAACTCAGCCAGTCTGCTTCTAGGTAAGTATTCTTACCTCCTATGCTACCTACTGCCTTTCAGTTAAGGAAGTAACCAACTTGTCATTCCTCTTCCAAACCTTTTTTTTGAAGATATACATATAGTATATCCACACTAGCAGCACTAACTCTTGCCTACTGGTAAAATCTAAAATAGCAAAAAACTCTCCTTAAATATTTAAATGATTAAATTAATTAAATTAATGGTGAAAAAAGACCGAATTAAAAGTGTAGAGAAATCAGAGATCATTCATTCAACTGTTATTTATTGAAAAAAAAGTTTTTAATTTGTATTTATTGAGCTAAGTACCATGTTACAGCAGCAAACAAAACAGATATGGTTCCTGTTCTCACAGAGCTTATATCATCTTTCTATCTCCATGCATCTTGTAATTGTACATACTTTTAAAGCAGATAAAATAGTACTAATTTTTTTTAAAGCCAGTCTAATTCTTTCATCTACTGATCCAAAAACCTAAGTGGCATGGGAGAGGAATATTTAAAAAAACATTTTTTTTCCCTTAATGGAATTACAGCATCAGTCAAATTTAGTCCTTATGTTAAGTATTCAAATGTCTCAAATATTATAATTTTTTGTTAATTATTGAGCACCCATAGCATACTAGAAATTAGAAGTTTTAATTCCATTTAGATAATAATCACAATGACTAAATATATTGAGCACTTACTATACACCAGACACTGTTAACAAGCGGTTTAGAAGTTTTAACTCATTTAATCCTCATAAGAATCCTTTGAGACAAATCTTACTAGTATTCCCAACTTACAGGTGAGGAAACTGTGACACAGACAAGAAACTTGCTCCAAATAGCAAAACTAGTAATATGGAAGCAGGATTAAATTCCAGGTAGTTTACATGGAGGGTACACTTTTTTTTGTCTCTCGATTGAAGTAAGACTTTTTAGCTTTTTGCCAAGTACACCTTAGTCCCCACGATAATCATTTTTTATATACATTTCCACCAAATGTTAAAACGAGGCTGGAAAGTAGATATTATAATCATTTTCTCATTAAGAAACTCTCAGAGAGTTTAAGGGACCTGACAGAAACAAAGAACAAAAGCCCTGATTCAAACCCAGATCTGACAGTTAAACATTACTCTATTAAATCATTCTATTACCTTCTCTGATTCTGCCTTCTTTTCAGTAAAAACAACAGCTTTATCAAACCAACACATCTTTTTTGAGTACTGCTGGTAAGCAAAGCCCTAGGCTAGAATGTTGGTGGCACAAATAACTATCAAAAAAGGGCTCTGGCCTTTAAAGGTTTATAAACCATGGAAAAGACAAGACAAACACACACAAAAGTACATAAAAATAAAAGACTTAAATACAGTTATTGACAATACTGATGTAATACGGTAATGCAAAGTTGCCAACTGATTTATACAGAAAATAACTGAAGTATCACTTGAGGCTGAGTCAATCAGAGAAGACTGCATGTTTGACTTCCAGAAACAGAAGTAAAACCCAAAACTGAAACAAAAAAGGGAATTTGTTTTAGGAAAAGGAAATAGGAACTTGGAAGGTAATGAGGGTTAAGTTGCCACATTATATTAAACATAAGAATCAGTACAATATATAGTATTATACTGTCTGTCCTCCTATGAATGGGAGCCAAAGCTGCCTTGGGGGGGTCCTTCCCTCCAGTTACTCTCCCCCAAGACCATTGAGCAAACTAGTTAAGGATGTGACACAGGCTGAGTAGCATGATGTCCATTTAAACCTACTTTTATCATCTTTCTCTGCCTATTTAGTATACTATAATATATATTATCCTATGTCACTACCAGAAAAATTTTAAACATCATATTTTTAAGCAGAAATAACTAGCTATTATGCTATATTCTTACCTTAAAATTACAGCTAATAGTTTAGAAAGAGTAAATCTATCTCCACTATTACTTGGAAACACTGCAGCAAGAATTAAGGTAAAAAGTCCTAGAGAGAAAAAAGATTCATCAGTTTAAATACTGTCAAAATACAGCCTTTAAACTAAATCATGTTTATTTCAACAATACAGATAGAATATATCCCTATTTACTGTAAACTAATAAGACAGTTAAATTCAGCATTCAGAGTAGCATTATGACTTCATCATAATCAAGCATGTGTGCTCAAGTTATTTTTATAGCTTCAAAAATACTTTTCCTCTCCCAGATTAGTAAGGTGATTCGATTTTTAAAATAAAACATCTTTCACAGGGTAAATTATGGTTCTGAAATAAGCAATTACATCTAGCCAAAGGGTCTAGAAAAAGAGCTTCAGAAAGAATATGTGAAAGGAATGACAACTACAATATAACGAACCAGTCTACAAAAACTTTAGATACTGTCATATAAAAAATACCATAAAATAAGCAAAGGAATATAAATAGCACAAGGCCACAGCATAAAACTACAAATATCATATAGTTCCAATGCACTAATGTACACTAGAATGAATGTAATAATTTGTAATAAGATAAAAACGTACGTGTTTATGTTTATATGTACATAATACATATACATACATATATATAAACAAAAATAGTTCTCAATTTATAATGCAGATTTGAAGACAAATTTCTTACCAGAAGTTGAGGATAAAATATTAACTATAGCAACCTGTGTGTCTGAAAGTGCTTCTTGATATGACAAATTTGCCAGAAACCACTAAAAAAAAGAAAACAAAGGGAAACCTAATGAATGACATGCTTATATCTGTCCTAATTTATAGGCCCCTCCTCTTTTTCCTCCCTAAATACTTTAACATAAGAGCTTTTGAAAAGTTGCTTTCTATTGAAAAATCACAGGCTTAAAAAGAGAGCATTTATAATTAGATCTAAGATCTTTGCTATTCAATTTCCCTTAAGAAATGAACAATAGTTGGTTAAAATTAGCATTCAGGTTTTTTTAAAAATGAGGATAAAACAATATCAAATCAATCTTAAAATTTGCTGTATCCAAGCATTTCTAGCATTCTATTAAAGTTTATCTAAACCAAATTTAAATTTGAGGAAATTCTCAAATATTAAAATATGTACAGATGAATACAGCACGATGAGAAATCTATTGAGCAAGATGACACCTATGGGGATGAATCAAAATAGCTAGCTAGGTAGACTGATACATAGAAGGACATAAGCACTTTGGAAATTTAAAAATGTCCAATGAAAAATGTGAATTTGCTAGCTATTTATGATTGTTTCTCCGATTCTCAGTTTGGAGACACAATACAAAGAGTTTTCACAACTGGATGTAATTAGAGGAAATTTTCTAGTTACAAGGATTATTTTCTTTTCTTTTGCTCATCTAGGCAAAGATATTCTTATATTCTCAATATTGTGCCTAATGTGATTTAAGGAATAAGAAAGATGACTTCTTTTTTATAAGGCCTGGTGTAGGTGTGTGGGAGGGGTTGCAAAATTCATTTATTTTGATATTAGATATTCTAATACATATTACCACAACTCACTCATTTTCCTGTCGATGATACTTCTTGACTATTTCAAACAATGCTACTATGAACATTCTGGTGCATGCCTCCTGGTGCACATGTGCTCGAGTGTCACTAATATATACGCTAAGAAGCAGACTGCTGAGTCAACCAAAGTACCAAAGTAAATTTACTGCTTATCTGCTTTTGGCATCACTGATATTTAAACATATTCATACTCCACAGAGGAATCCTCTCTTAAGAGAGGGACATCTCTTGATCTGTCTCAGAACTTGTAGTTAAGTACTATAATTATTAGCATTTACATTTCAACTAGGAATAAAGACATAGAGCACTGCTAGAAGGTAGCAGATAGCTGAGTTTAGTCAATTCTATTTAGTCTATACTGTACTCAAGACGAAAGCCAGGGTAAAAGTATGGTAAAGTGATTCTGACACCATCACTAGACCTCTGACTTCCTAGGTAATTTCACTGGACTTTCTAAACAAGAAAATGAGGTAGCAATCTAAGATGAACAATACCAAACATATATGTGGTGCTAGAAAAAAGGTAGAAGATTCTGCTCTTAATTATCTTTTGGAGACTTATCTACAAGAACAAATAATACTTATTGGGTGATAATTAGTTTTCTTGACCCACTGTCCTTACAACTTTCACACATAAATACTGTGCTCATTTTCCAAACAATCTTACTGGTCTCTGCTAATACATGATAAAAAAATAAACACTGTATGACCTAAATTCTATTATACAGAGAAAAATTAAAACATCATAAGCCCTAACAAGACAAAAGATATTCAAGGAGGACTGGCAAATGCAGTAATCATGAACTCCTGCACTGTACAATACATTAGCCACTAACTACATGTAGCTACTAAAGAACTGAAATGTGTCTAGTCCAAATCAAAATGTTTAGCAACTAAAATTGAAATTGAAATAAAAACTGAAATTGAAATGAAATGGAAACTGAAATAAAGTAGGAAATGAAATGCTTAGAATATTTCAGTACTAAAAAAATATAAACTATCTCAACAATAAATTTTATATCAAAATATTTCATATATAGTGAGTTAAATAAAAATATAGTATTAAAATTAACGTGTTTAACTTTTTTTAATTTAAATTAAATTTGCCAACCTATAACATCCAGTGCTCATCCCATCAAGTGCCCTCCTTAGTGCCTGTCCCCCAACTTTTTTTTTCTAAGATTTTTATTTATTCATTCATGACAGACACACACACACTGAGAGAGAGAGGCAGAGACACAGGCAGAGGAAGAAGCAGGCTCCATGCAGGGAGCCTGACGTGGGACTCCATCCCGGGTCTCCAGGATCACACCCCGGGCTGAAGGTGGTGCCAAACTGCTGGCCACCAGAGCTGCCCTGTTCCCCAACTTTTAAAAAAATTTTAAAAATGTAATTAGAAGTTCTTTTCTAATTGTAGAAAATTCAAAAATACATAAGACACCTGCATTGAGGCTCATATTATACTTCTATTGAACAGTACTGCTCTAAACTGCATCAGAGCTTATTCTTAAGTTAGGTTTCCAAAAAGCTATATACCTGGACTATATTACTCTTTCTAAAGAAATGCCTTTACTAAAGACTAAAATAGTTTTCTACTCTTATAACTTATTAGAGGTTTTTTTTCTTTTTAAGACTACTGAAGGTGGAAGCACCCAAGTGCAGATCAACGATGAATAAACAAACTGTAGTATATATCTGTACAGTGAAATGGTACTAATCCTTTAAAAGTTCTAAAAAAATAAAGAAAGAAAGAAAAGAAAAAGTTCTGACACATGCTATAAGGATGAAGCCTGAAGACTTTATGCTGAGATAAGCCAGTCATAAAAGGAAAAACAGTCTATAATTCCACACACACAAGGTACAGAGCAGTCAAGTTCACAGATACAGAAAGTAGAATGCTGGTTGTCAGAGGCTAGGGGAAAGGAGAATTATTGAATGGATATACAATTTCAGTTTTGCAGGGTGAAAATGTTCTGTTGATAGATGGTGGTGGTCACACAACAGTGTGAATGTGCCTAATGCCACTCAGCTGTACACTTAAAAATAGTTAAAATGAAAAAAAAAATGGTTAAGATGGCAAATTTTATAGCATGTATATTTTTACCACAATTTTTAAAGGGCTTTTAATATGCACATATCTATTTGTAAATCAGCACATTATATGGAATAGTACCTATGTATTTATACAATATATTCTCTCAGAGTAGTGAGTCGCAACAAAGTTTGCTTTATCCAATGAAGGAAAATATTAACTTTTAATAGGCCATAAGCTGCATAATTGAGGCTTTCCTTTTACCAATTTGCCTAGAGATGAACTGCATGCTCATTTGAAGTAGCTTTCTTCCTTTAAATTGGACTTCCTGATATAGTCATCCCATTCCAGTCAGCTTCCTTCCAATACACACACATACTACCCATTTAATTTCTTTTCTTTTCTACTTTGTTTTTGACTTTTACTATATAGATGCTTTTATTATTCTTCAAGTCTCATTTAAAAATTAGGTAACATATGATAAATCTTAGTCATGCCTTACATTCATTTAAAACAAGCAAACAAAAATAATAGCATAATCCAAATGTATGAGCCTTTAATTTTAGTATATATGTAATTATCATAACTCACCAAAATTTTTTCTGATATTAACCAAGGTATCACTCAACTAGATGTTATTCAGGAAGAGAATGGAAAAAAAATGGGCTATGCAATCAGGCAAAACTGTAGTAAAATAATCTTATAATCAAGCTAATGATACTGACATTAGCACTGCATTATCTGGTGTTTAAAAAAGCTCAGAATAAATTTAAATCTTTTTTTTTTTAAGATTTTATTTATGAGAGAGAGAGAGAGAGAGAGAGAGAGAGAGAGAAGCAGGCTCCGTGCAGGGAGCCTAATGTGGGGACTCAATCCCAGGTCCCCAGGATCACACCCCGGGCGAAAGGCACCCGCTAAACCGCTGGGCCACCGGGGCTGCCCTAAATTTAAATCTTAAAGACTCATATAAACAACCTTGGATTAGGCTGCTTTCAATGGCATATATAGGAAAGAGCCCTGAAATTCATTAACAAATTCTAAACTTCAGTTTCCACTAACTCAGACAAGTCTAATCCCAGTTTATTGCAAAATAATATTTGCTGTATGATTACTCTATGTGAAATCTTTAGCACATTTTTAGTTTCTACATTAACATAATAGAAAAGCTATTAACAATACAAGAAATTCTGTAGAAATATTTCGAGTACTTGCTAAAATATCTGACCACATTTACACGAATTTTCTATACTACTACAAAACCACTTATTTGACAAAATCAATGCATACAGTAAACTCTTATCTGGATATTTTCTAGCCTTTGTATATATCAGTGTAAAATAACTATTAATTACTCTTATGGCCAGATAGCTGAGTTTTAAAGTTACGATTAAGCAACCTAAGAGTGCTATGCTTCAATAGCATACTGCTGGTATGTATATACCATCTTAAAATTCAAGTTCTAAACATATAAGAAAGAGAAGACCTACCACAAAGCAAAAAAAAAAGCTAATTTTTGCTACTTGAGTTGTAGTAAGTTTCCCCACAGTTTTGAGTAAGGATTCTTGTTCTTTCACAGTAGGATATGACATGCGAGACAACTTAGCTTCCAATGCATGGCTTGATGGAAGCTGCCGAATCTCCATGATATTACTGAACCTTACACGAGACTTTTTGGGAGCTTAAAAGGAAAAGTACAATACAAAATCATTAACGTCTCCCCTCACATCCAATAAAAGTCACAAGTTTTAATTTACTGATAAATGCATATTCTTTAATTCATATATGATCAGACTTGGACAGCAAAGAAAAACCAGAGTTTTATTATTACCTGGGGCAGCTCTGCTCAAAGAGTTAACAGGAAAAAACATTTTCATCCATAAAAATGTTTTAAAGGTTTTAAAATGAGACCAATATTCAATACACAATGTGCATTGTGTACATACACAACTGCCTAGCTCAGGATCATACTATGATTATTGTTTTAGCATTTATGGTAAAAATTTTATGTGGATTTTTCTTCCTAGATACTCAATTTACGAGAATTATGTTCCTGGTCAAGAATGCTTAACATTCCCCTAGAGGTCCATTCTTTGCAAGAGAATATTATGGATAAATACTGTGCTTACACTGAAGGTGACATTCTTTACTCCATTCACAGAACCAACAAAACTCCCATAATTTGCTATTAGGAGCCTCAAATGGCATGGTTGAAGAAAATATTGTTAATATTTTATTTCTATGATGAAACCATAGGGATTTCTGATAGTTGGAAATTATTTCTGGTTTAATTAATAAAAACTTCTGGTCAAACTTCTGGAAGACAAGCCAAGCCAATACCACACAGAAAAGAAAAAATGCCAGGTTATCCCAGTCAACCCATAAAATCACTAAGTTTGAGGATGGCTTAAATTCTAAGTTATAAAATTCTAAGTTTTGCTTACTTTTTTCAGCATCAATGTTTGTGTTCTCAGGTTTTTCACTTGGAATATCATGAAATTTCACAGGAACATACAGAGGTTCACTCTAGAATGTAACAAAAACACAAACAAATATAAACAGCAAGTATAATAGCTGATATACTGGCTAAAATTTAAATTGATGCCATTTTGATGGCAAACACCACTCAAAACACAGCTGTCCACCACCATGTTTACACAGAATTTTTCCAAAATGTATCAAACAGCATTGGTACGTTATATTTAACATTTAAATGTCAAAAAACCAGACCTCTTTCAAGCTAACAGATTATCTCCAATTCCTTTTCATTTATTCTTTTTTTTTTTTTCATTTGTTCTTTTAACAAATACATGCTGAGCTTCTACTATGTCAGAAACTGTTCTAGATCCTAAGGGATATAAGACTGAAGGAAGACAAAGTCTCTGCCCTTGATGATCGTGTAATTTAAAGGTGAAGGCAGACAATGAAGAGACTATCAAGATAATATGTGTATGTATTTGTCAAATTGTTTCTTCTTACTACTTTAGATTCAACTAAAGATTAAGATTCCTGAAAACCATTACAGGATTAATAGACAAGTAAAAAAAAAGGGCCACCACTTATCAGTTCTTACAATGTACCAGTTACCAACTCCGGGGCAGTTAAATATGTCTTTCTCTTTAGTCCTCATAATAAGCTCATAAAATGGTATTTTAAAAAACTCCCCTAGGAACAGAAATATAATCAAGTAGTAGACAACAGAATTGCCAGGTTTATCTAACCATGCTCTCAAGGTTTTTGTTTTTAAGTGGTTCTGAATTCCTCTACTGTTTTTTTTTTTTTTTAAAGATTTTATTTATTTATTTATTCATGAGAGACAGAGAGAGAGAGAGAGAGGCAGAGACACAGGCAGAGGGAGAAGCAGGCTCCATGTACCGGGAGCCCGACGTGGGACTCGATCCCGAGTCTCCAGGATCACGCCCTGGGCCAAAGGCAGGCGCCAAACCACTGCGCCACCCAGGGATCCCTCCTCTACTGTTTTTATAAAAGTTCTTTAAATAATCTATATTTAAGGCACAATTCTCCAACTAGGCTGTTTCTTAAATTAACAAAAAGTGTTTTTTATTTAATTTTCTTTTAGCTTCTGGCATAGAACTCTGCCAATGAAAACTATTCAGTAAATGAAGAGGCAATAGGATCTGAAAACAGACACAGTCTCTTCATTACACTGAACTTCTCATTAAAGCATTTGGCCTAGAACAATTTGACATATCCATCTTACTGGTAATAGCAAGTTAGCAGAAGAGTATTAGAAGAATAGCCTGTCACCTCAACTCTGCCTTCTATACTGACAGAAGCAACTGATATGAATTTTGCTCTTTCTTAAGATCCCAGAGAAACAGAATGACATCCTCCCTAAGCTTCATAAACTCCTTACAGCATCTGGTAACCTACCTCACATCCAACTATTGTTCTAAAAGCTATACATACCAACAAGTCAAAAACTGTATTGGCAATAAGGCCACCAAGCTAATGCTTTATAAACTGGTGTTAGACTTTTGAGTAACTTTAAAATTTTTCTCAGAATGCCACATTTGGAACAATACATTTTAAAGAGGTGCTTTAGTTTTGGTCTTCAAAAAAAATTTTTTTTCTACATACTTTCTCTCCAAATAGATTATAAATGCTGAAAATAAGTGAATATGTTAATTACCTTACTTGCTCACTTATTATCTGTCTCTTCTGCCCCACACATCTCTCACATACTAGAACATAAGCTATATATTTCCAGAGCCCAGAACAAGTGCTTAACACATATTAAGAGCTCTTAGGGATGCCTGAATGGTGCAGTCAGTTGAGCATCTGACTCTTGGTTTAGGCTCAGGTCATCTCGCACATAAGATGGAGCCCTCATCGGGCTCTCTGCTCAGCAGGAATTCTCCTTCCCTCTCCCTCTGCTCCTCCTGCTCATACTCTCTTTCTCTAAAATAAATAAATAAATAAATTTTTAAAAAGTGCTGTTAAAAATTTGTGTAAAAACCTGTGGAATGAACAATCTGCTTTTATATTCTTAGTGTCAAGCAAGTATATTTGCTTCTAAGTAATAATAATGAAACAAAGTGATGAAATTGGTGAGAAACAAACAACAAAGGACTACACCTTAGGATTTTCACTCCTTAACCAATGTCCTCTACCCCTCTCTCCCCAGAAAGTTGAACTGCTTACTTCTAGGTCCCAGGAAAGAAAGTACCAAATTACAATTCTTAGAGAGGGCACTCAATATTAGGATTTATCTACATCCTAATATAGTGGTGTTATAAAGCTATTTCAGTCCTTCCTGTCATGGCTCAACTCCACCCGTTCCACTCCTGATGAGAAAAAAAGCACTTACCAAAGAACTATTCATAGTCGTATCTGTTGTGCAAGCAGCAAAGTATCCTTCAGCATCTGCAAACTACAGATAATAGGACATAAAATTCAATTAAATTCATGTTACAAAGCAAGACTGCTGTCAGTCACAGCTCAAAGGAACAGAACCAAAAATCCAGAATAGACCTATAGGAGTATAATTACTATTAATCGTAATAGCAGCTAATGCCAAGTGTTCAACCATGCAAGGCAGGTATTATCATCTCCATTTACTGATAAAGAAACAGGCTGAGATTTCATCGAAGTAACAGAGCCAGGGATAAAACCCAAGTCTGTCTAAATATAAAACTTACAACCTTTTCAAAATACTATTATAACATTTCAGATGAAAAGAAAAAGGATGTGGGTTAGTGAAAAAGACAAATAACATCTTAGTGTATCGTGATAAGAGTAATGACATCAAGAGCCCCCTAAATGGATCAATGGACTGGATTATACTTGGAGAACCCTAGGCTAGTGCTGTACAAGCATATTTTTATTCACCAAGTTACCCTATCATTATCCTTGCTTAAAGTGTGAAGAGGTTAAATAAGTTGTTCAAGGTCACACAATCAGCAAATGACAGAACAAGATTCAAATACCAAAATCCAGGCTCTTAAAAAAATTCCTGTAAGTCAGTAAGAGTCAATATACAAAACCTAACAAACTATAGACAACTCTAAAAAGAATTCTATTGTGCAACAAATATATAAAGAAATACCAAAAGCATGTAGATTAAACAAAATATATTATTGTTTGCCTATCAAAGTGGTAAATGTGGGGGTTGTGGTAAGGATTCAATCTTAAGCGCTGCTAACACAGATGTGAACTTTAGACGATAATTTAACAGGAGGAGGCAAAAACCTGAAAAATGGCACTATTGTTTTACCCAACAATTATGGTTTGGAGATTTATCCCAAGTAAATAACTATAGGTGTGTATAAAGATAAAGATATTTCTATTTACTTGTATCAAAATAAAAGGTGAAAACAATATATCAGGGAAATAAATCAGAAAATTAATTAGAAAAGACAGTAACAAATGTTTATGTATTAGCCTAGAGAAGTATTCATGATATATTAAGTGAAAAGTAAAATCAGGTTAGACAATGATATAGACTAAACTTACTTCTACTACAATTTTAAATATATGCACATAAACACATAGCTATAGAAAGTATCAAATCTATATATATATATGGACAGACCAGTCGTATTTCTCATGTTACCATAATTTGTCTTCAACAATGAACAGGCATCACTACTACAATTTAAAAAAACTTAACATTAAAAAATGTTCTAGGAATACTAAATTACACAGAAAGTTGTTCATCACCTACCACTAAGAACAGAAAGCCAATTGTAAAACAGAAAATAATAGTATAGTTTCACTTTTGTAAAAAATAAAATAAAAACACACACACAGAAAACAAAGGCAGGATACATGTCAAAATACTCTGGCGTTATTCCTTGAAAGATGGAATTTACTATTTTCTTCTTTCTGTTCCTCTGTATTTTCTAAATGGTCAATAATATGCACATAGTATATACATATGCCCCTACCTGTAATACTATAATATATATGGATTTCTATAATGTATTATTTTTACAAAATAAAAAATAGAAAGTGTTCATTAGAAAAGATGAGAAATAATACTAGTTTGACGTACAAAAAAATGTATACATAAAAGAAAAAATTAACAGAGAAAAAGTATTTGGGAGGAATGGGGAATGGGAATTAGTTATTATTTAATGGGTACAGAGTTTCTGTTTGGGATAATGAAAAAGTGCTAGAGATGGACAGTGGTGATGGCTGCATACCAAAGTGAATGTAGTTAATGCCACTGAACATTTAAAATGTTCACTATATGCCACTACACATTTAAAAATGGTAAAAATTCTAAATTTTGTCATATATACTTTACTACAATAAAAAAAGGAGGTGAAGAAAAAAAGGATGAAATGGTAAATCTGATGTTATGTATAGTCTATCACAATTTTCAAAGAAGAGAAAAGGATGGGACGTCTGTGTGGCTCAGTGGTTGAGCGTGTGCCTTCAGCTGAGAACGTGATCCCGGGTCCGGGGATCGAGTCCTACATCGGGCTCCCTGCAAGGAGCCGACTTCTCCCTCTGCCTATGTCTCTGCCTCTCTGTTGGCCTCTCATGAATACATAAATAAAATCTTTAAAAATAAATAAGTAAAGAAAGTGGAAAAAGAAAAGTTAGAGGCAGTTTTATATTCTTCATTCTCAAAAATTTAGTTTCTACTTGTAGAAAATACTATCACTATATAAATTGCCATTTCTTTCAACACTATGAATCAGCATGTTACGTTACATCATGGAAAGAATATAATTTGGTTAGCCAAACATCTGAAAGATGGCCTGAAATAAGCTATTTTCATTTTAATAAATTAAACCTTTATTTACTTTATTTCTAACAAGCAGCTTTACAACTATTGATACTCATCAAGTATGCAAATGACCAAAGACTCCAGATATTCTTCACTTTCATCTTCATCTCCACATTAATGATTTGGGCCAGTTCAATATTTTTAACAACTCACAGGATATTATGAGGTAAGGGAGAGAAAGTGATTATGTACCTCTGATTTCTCATAAGATATTTTGATACCAAGTTGGTTAGAAGAATAAATTTAAAACTTTGGACAAAAGCTTTCTTATATCATGCTATCCTCACTCACTTAACTAAATAACTTAAAATCTGACTATCCTTCAAGAAAGTAATAACTTTAAACTTTGAAAAAATGAATTCCCTCAACAACAAAAATTTAAAGTTCAAAACTTACAAAAGCAGCATGCTTTCCTCGAAATCCTCTTGTACACTGTTGTCTCCATGGCTTCCAAATAATAAAGCCCAAAAGGTATAGAACAAACATAGATGTTTTTGCAAAGGTGCTGAAGAATGGCTTGTTGTACTGAGTAAAAACATACTGTAGAGGAAAAATTTATATAAACTATGAAATGACTTTAATTATCTCCAACAAAATAAGGCTATCACATTATTTTTAACTCTAAAAGTTCATGTGGAAGGGAGATCAAAAGGGATTACAAAAATATTTTACACTTATTTCTAAACATTATATTTGCTTGTATACAACGGATAATATTCCCAAGCAAACCAGCACACAACTTCCAAAAGAGGTTTTGTTTAACATTCATTAAAAACCTACTATGCAAGAATATTGGTGCTCTGAGCTAAGGAAAAATAAGACAGTCTTTCTTTTCGTGTGTGTGTGTGTGTGTGTGTGTGTGTGTGTATGAAAAGTACACAGTATAATATGTCATGTAACACAACAGGGTTATATAGGTTCCATAGGATTACCAAAGGAGAAAGATCATTTTAAAGACTATGGAAGTCTTCTAAGAAAAGGTATTCTGGAGCTGTATGTATAGGGCTGAATAATAGTTCAGAGGAACAGGATAAAGAAAGGCAGTAAAGCAGAATGGTATATGAATAAAACTGCATGAAATTTAATGTTCTTAGTAAGTTATATAAAACTTAATCCTATATACATTGAAAGGCCCAGAAAAAATGACAACCCAAGGGGAATGGGCACCTATAGAATCCAGATGGTGATCTGTATCATCTGGTAATAAAAGGAACCATAGAATCTTAAAGAAACGATCAAATCAAAACATGCAGCCTGGGCCATCTTGCACCAGAAAGCAAATAGGATATTAAAGATTAATAAGGTCATACTGAGAGGACAGTAGGGCCAATCTGAAGAGCCTCCCACTGGTCAAAGATAGTACAGTTTAAGCATTAAAAAGGAGTAACTACAATCGACTGAAACACATCGAATACACAAAAATCCGTGGATGTATGATGATACTCTATGGTTACTACTGGAGGTTGCTAAGTAGCATTACTCTAAAACGCACAAAGAATCAAGATCTATGCAACCCTTCCTACATAAACCATGTTTCAGGATAACTAAACAGTAGTGGTGAAAACCTCTCCTTAAAGAATTCAGTTAATAAATGCACAAGGAATGACTCTTAAAAAAAGTCATCATTTCACAATTCCTACTGAAATACTCCATCTGGGCAATAATCATATAGATATTTGACTACTACCTAAAAGTTCATGAAAAATTTTATAGTGCAAAAGCTGGCATCACCCAAAGTAAGACCTGCAGCCATTATGTGCCTCGTATGTTGTCACATGAAGTACCCAGTACCACCAAGGTATTTTTTTTCCTAAAACTGAACCTGAATCAAATCAGGACTTTACAGCTAACTACCATTTTACAAGAAATAAGAGAAAAGGAGGAGCAAGTTAAATGACACTCCAAGAAAACAACCAGCCATATTTGAAGTGCATGTGTTATGGAGTGAACATGTGTGTCCTCCCAAAATTAGTATCTTAAAATTCTAACTCCCAATGTGATGGCATTAGGAGACGGCGCCTTTGGGAGGTGATTAGGTCAAGTGTAGAACCCTCATGAAAGGAATTAGTGCTTTATAAAGATATCACAGAGAGCTTTCCTGACCTTTCAGCCTTTTGAGGACACAGTGAGAAGACTGCTACCTAAGAACCAGGAATAGGGTCCTCAAAAGACACCAAATCTCTCCCCCAGAGCTGTGAGAAATAAATGTTTGTTGTCTGAGCCACCCAGGCTAATCACAGTCTTCTTGTGGCACCCCGAGTGGACGAAGACAGCATGATATATCCCACAGGAAAAATGATCCAGTTTTTCCAACAACTCAATAGCATGATTAAAAAAAAAAAAAAAAAGGTAGGGCTTGGCAGAATACAATTAAGGAATGAAAGTGACTTAAAAGCAATTTGAAGATGGACCAGGTATCAGATAATTTTAAGAAATAATTACTTTTATTAGATATGTTAATGGCATGATTAGATTTTTAAAAATTAGGACCTTTTCAGTTTGACAGGAGTATGAAAGAATTTACAGGTGAAATGACAAGTGGCTAGAATATGCTTTAAAATACTCCAGAAAGGGATGCCTGGGTGGCTCAGTGGTTGGGCATTTGCCTCTGCCTCTCTGTCTAATCATGTGAGAGAGAGAGAGAGAGAGAGAGACAGAGAGAGAGAGAGAGAGAGAGAGAGAGAGACAGGCAGAGGGAGAAGCAGGCTCCATGCAGGGAGCCCGATGCCGAACTTGATCCCGGGACCCTGGGTTCACGCCCTGAGCGAAAGGCAAAGGCCCAACTGCTGAGCCACCAAGGGACCCTCTAAATAAATAAAATCTTTTAAAAAATAAAAAAATTAATACTCCAGGAAAACATATCTGGGGAGGGGTTGATAAGAGAATATTGGAAATTTAATAGTTGTTAGGCATATGAAGATCCATAATACCAATGTTTCTACTTTGTATATGTCAGAAAATTTCAATAAAAGACTGATTTTCTTGTTGAAATATACACTATATCTTAAAAGTTTAATGCTCATATTTGGCTGAAGAATTAGACATATTACATATGCTCTAGATAACAAAATTATCCTCTTACTAACAGATATGGATTGCTAAATTATAATTTGATCAGGACCTCTTCTATCCTAAGTTTTATAAACTGATAAATAAAAACCAAACCATTTATTTAAAACAAAAATAAAGTTTCACAGACAAGCTTATTTCCCTGTCAACATTAAAGAGATTTCTTTGTGAACTACAGAATGTTCATCCAAAAAAAAAAAAAAAAAAGTTACGGAAGAGTGAAAAATAATAAACGGGCTGTTGTATTCCAGAGCCTACTTCCAAAACAGCTAAAAATTTATTTATTCATTGGCTAGAACGTCAGTGTCAACTATTTACTTAACTATGATGTGAGATGACCAGCAGTAGCAAACTGCTCCTTTTGACATTTAAGTTCATTTTATAAATGCTAGTTTCCTTCTGTATTGGCCTTAAGACTACAACATGTAAGTTGAAAAGCAGTAATTTCTGAAAATTGCCCATCTTTTTATATAGATTGTTAGCCAAACAGAATAAAGTAACTACATATATAATTAGAAACAAAAACTATTTTGTGCACTCAAAATAACACATTACTATCAAGAAGATACTGAGAAAGGTAAAATAAAATCTAACTAAATGCCATCACCATATACCACATATCTCACAATGTTTGAATCAGCAGATGTATAAATGTGCATGCACCCATGCACATGCACAACAGTGAGTTGTACACGAAAGCTCTGATCACTTTCACGCATCTGTTCAAAAGCATTCTTACTTTCCACTAAATGGTGGCAAATGGCTTTGTATCCTAGACACTTGTTCCTCTAGAAAGTATATTTATAAACAAAGAAAACAACAAATGCACAGTTAAATATTAAGAAAATAGGCAATATAGTCTCATTTTTAAAGCAACTCTCCCTAAAGGATTGAAGAAAGTCATAAATACAAAACGCAAAACAAAGAATAACTTTTTGTATTTGTACAAAAATACAAAAAGTATTTTTTGTCTCAACGTGAATTGACATGAATTCACTCATCAAAGAAAATATAAACAATTCAACATTAAGAATACTGCAAAAGAAATGACTAGCGCGATGCCATAGATTAACACCAACGTCACTATAACGCAACATCGTTCCTCGACAAGAATTACCTACCGAAGTAAGTTCTGAGGATGCGACCCATATCACATCAACAAGTAGGAGAATGACGATCCCAAGAGCCATCCGCCTGCGCTGAGTGAAACCACTGCTCTGGGAGTTCATCCGGTTCATGATAAATACACACACCATTTGCAGTCTGTTTTTCAGAAAATACAGACATTAGAGAAGGTTTTTGGAAAAATGACCGTAGAAAACGAGAAAATTACTCGAGAAAGATTTGTTGTTTTTTTTTTTAATAAATTAATTTTTTATTGGTGTTCAATTTGCCAACATACAGAATAACACCCAGGGCTCATCCCGTCAAGGGCCCCCCTCCGTGCCCGTCACCCATTCACCCCCACCCCCCGCCCTCCTCCCCTTCCACCACCCCTAGTTCGTTTCCCAGAGTTAGGAGTCTTCGTTTTCTGTCTCCCTTTCTGATATTTCCCACACATTTCTTCGAGAAAGATTCGACGTTTGTGCTTGAAAAGCCCCACAATAAATTAAAAGCGGCGCTCACCTTACTTTAAAGGCCTCTCTGAGATCTTCAAGGGCAGCGCCTGAAACCTTGGCAGATCGCCGTCCAAAAGGGGGTGAAGAACCCAGCGCACCTACGAACAGCCACGAAGTGATGCTGATGAAAAACATCAACCCCTCAAAATAAGGTCCATCGCATATTTTTTTTAAACTCTTGAAATTCAAAGTGAACAGATCAAAGAAAGATACCAAGAGAGGTTGCGTAGGGCTGACCCTCCTTCTCCAGCCTCGATATTCACCGTGTATTTCAAGTCATACTCAGAAAAGTTCATGGTGCCAAAACAAAACAAAACAAAACACGACAAAAATCTTCAACGAACGGCGACATTGGAGGGAGGCTCGCCGCCGGCAGGGAGCTCCGCCGCGCCTCCCCAGCACCGCGGCCCTATCGGCCTCTCCCGACCGAGGAGCCCTCCTCAGCCGCGGCGTCTGCACTCGCGCCGCCTCGCTAGCGTGTCTCCGGGGCCGATCCCTCGGGCGGGAGCCGGGTTACCTGGTGTCGGGGCGCTGGCGGCCGCCCCACGTGCCGGGGACACCGGCGCCCCCCCCCCCCCCCCCGCGGCCTGTCACCGCGTCCGGCTCCCTCAGATCCGAGGCGCCTCCCGCGAGCGAGGCAACAGCTGCCCGGGGGCGGCCGCCCCGGGTCTCCCCCGCCCGAGCGGCACTTAGCGCGCAGGCGGCGCCCGAGCGGCTCCCACGCCCCCGTCAGCCTGCCCCTCACGCCCCGGGGAGACCCCGGCTGCGGCTCCGGGGGATTCCGGGGCCGTCCCCGCGCCCGCCTACCTGGCCCTCCTGCCCCGCGATGGCGTCGTGGCGGCACCATGAGCGGCCTCGGCCCGGCCCCGCCGCCGCCCAGCGCCACGGCCGCGGCCTCGGCCTCACAGAGCCGTCGCGGTACCTGACATGGCGCTGCGCCGGAGGCCCGGCCCCTGAAGCCTCGGTGTCCCTCGCGGCGACGCTGCGGACGCCACCCGGCCCCACTCGGCCCGGCAGGGCGGGCAGCGGGCGAGGGCAAAGGGCCGCGCAGGCAGCGATGGCCGCGGAGGCCCGGAGTTGGACCCCGGCCCCGCCCCCAGCCCGCCGGCCAGCCAGCCCGCCCGCCCCGCGGCCCCGCCCCCCGGCCCCCCGGCCCCCCGGCCCCCAGGCCCGACGGCGGCGGCGCGGGGTGACGTCACGGCGGCGCGACGGCGGGCCGCGCGTGGGCGCGTCTCCAGGGCGACTGGGCGGCGCGGGTCGGCGTGCTGCGGGGGGCGGGGGCGGGGGGCGGAGGCGCGGGGAGGAGCGGAGACCGGAGGAGCCACGCCGGGGCGCGGTGGAAGAGGAGCGGAGCGCGAGTGAGTGGCTGGGGCTGCGCGCGGGACGGGGGCGGGGGCGGGGGCCGGGGAGCCGCGCGGCCCCGCCCTCGGAAGCCAGCGGGCCGCTCCGATTCTGCAGAAGTTGGCGGCGAAGCTCTCCGTAAGTTTTTCTCGAGGAGGAGACCGAAAAGCAAAGTGGCTCGGGGGATCTTTTACTCTCCGGGACCTCTCGTATGCACCCTGGGTTCCAGCCCCCGGAGTTAGGCGCCGTGTCTGGGGGAGAAAGCTGCTTCACCTCCGCGGCCCTCAGCTTTCTCAGGCAGAAGTGATAGCACCCGCCTCCCGGGTCTGTCTGTCTGTCTGTCTGTCTGTCCACACACGCTCATACGTATGTACACACCTGTACGTGCCAGGGTTACGTCAGTGTCCAAGTGTGAAGGGCTTAGATCAGTTCATGGCACATAGAACTCCGCACACAGAGTGAGCTGTATGGATTTTCTTTTTCTTTTAACTGTCTTTTGAATGTCCTATGAGAAAAAAAAAAAAGATGCCTGGCCTAAGTCCTAATTTGTATTCAGAAGACAAATACAAGACTAAAAGGTTCTGTAATTTAGCGGAAGTTACCCACCACCAGGGCGTTTTTAACATTTTCAGATGGCACACAATAAAAATATTTAAATTTCCTTGCTTTCATACTGACGATATAGTGCGTTTCTTAATTCTCTTAAATCCTATCTTGTTTCACTAAAGTTAAATACATATTCAGGGATCCCTGGGTGGCGCAGCGGTTTGGCGCCTGCCTTCGGCCCAGGGCCTGATCCTGGAGACCCGGGATCGAATCCCACGTCGGGCTCCCGGTGCATGGAGCCTGCTTCTCCCTCTGCCTGTGTCTCTGCCTCTCTCTCTATCATGAATAAATAAACAAAATCTTTAAAAACAATACATTTTCAAATGACTAATGAAATACTACCAATGGACATTTTCTGTATTGATCCAATCAGTTTCTTTTTAAAAGATTTTATTTATTTATTCATGGGAGACACAGAGACGCAGGCAGAGGGAGAAGCAGGCTCCATGCAGGGAGCTCGACATGGGACTCGATCTCGGATCCCAGGATCAGGCCCTGGGCTGAAGGCGGCGCTAAACCGCTGAGCCACCAGGGCTGCCCTCCAATCAGTTTCTAATAAATAAATGATCATGCCTCCAGAGAATCATTCAGAAAACTTATCATTCAGAATTAGAAAAATCTTAACCTTGAAATTACTACTTGAAACTACTTGTTTCAACTAAATTATACTTGAAATTACTACTTAGGGGAAATTTGGTTGCATACCTTTACCAGCACCTTTTTTATTCTTTTCTTTCTTTAACATCGTTTAGAATGTCAAGCTCATAATATGATACATAGACTGAAAAAATAACAGCAGTATAAATACCTCCTCGGAGCAGGAAAACCATGTTCTAAATCTTAATTTGACCACAATTTGTTATGTAATTTTTTTTAAAGATTTATTTATTTATCCATGATAGAGAGAGGCAGAGACACAGGCAGAGGGAGAAGCAGGCTCCATGCACCGGGAGCCCAACGCGGGACTCGACCCCGGGACTCCAGGATGGCGCCCTGGGCCAAAGGCAGGCGCTTGGCTGAGCCACCCAGGGATCCCCTTGTTATGTAATCTTAAGGATTATTCTACTCTCAATTTTGCCTCAGTTCTCCCATCTATAAATATAGGGATACTGTTTGCTTTTTCTTAATTAAATAATGTAAATGATAGCACTTTATAAATACAGGTAAATGCAAGTTACCATTATTACCACCTATTTCCAGAGCATCTGCTAAGGAACAAATGCTGTGATATTCTTGTGGTAATGAAGATAAGGTAATTCTAGATCAGCTGTCTTCAAGTATCTCCAACCTAGGTTAATCTTCCATTAACATTTTCTCCAGGGTCACCTGGGTGGCTCAGTGGTTGAGCATCTGTCTTGGGCTCAGATCGTGATCCCGAGGTCCTGGGATCAAGTCCCACATCAGGCTCTCCCACAGGGAGCCTGCTTCTCCCTCTGCCTGTGTCTCTGCCTGTGTCTTTCTCGGTCTCTCCTGGATAAATAAAATCTTTAAAAAAAAAAAAATATATATATATATATATTTCCAGTGTCCACTGAAGGAAATTTCACTATACTGCTGTATGACAACAGACTCTGGTGTGGTTTCTGTGTTGTGACACCATCCTGATCTCAGGCCTTCCCTTCTTTGGATTCCCAAGTGCCTATCTTGCTCAAGGATAAGTCCTCAGTAACGTCAAGGTCTTGTACTAAATACCAGCTGTCTGCATTTTCAAATGTAAGTTCCACAAAGCAAGGTTTTTTTTTTTTTTTCAATATCATTCTCCACTATATCCTTGCCAACTAAAATAATACCTAGCAGAGTTGGCAGTCAATATTTGTTGAATGAACTTGAACTTCCTGCTGTCTCTTGACCTTTATGCCTAATTCCTTTCTCAAATCTGCATTACTGTCTATACCACCTTTCTTCTAGTGTCACAGGCTTAAAAGGTTGATCTTTTATTTTTATCAATTTCCATTTCACTCTTCAAAGTTGATCACTCCTCACGATCTATCAGTAGTAGATCCTTAAGATTCATCCGGTATTAAGTTTGACATCTTCAAAACACACCCAAAATACAAAGAATATAGTTTCTCCTGTAAAGTACATATGCCACAATATGAGCTTGAAAGCAAAGTTGTGTACAGAGCAGTCACTAGCTAACTCTCCTGTACACCAGCCTCAAAGACCACAATTCAAACTCTAGTAAAATTATAAATGATTATATCATGGATGTTTTGTGTGTCTAGTTAAGAATTGAAACCACCTATAAATTCCAAGACTAGAAATACATGAAGAATACCTAAATGAGAACAAGCAAAGGCTATTTATTCGGAGCTTGCTATAGCAAGTAGGCAGCCACCATCACTTGAATTGGGCCAAGACCCAAAAGCAGGCAGGGAATGTAAAGCTTTACAGTAGTAAATGGCTTCAGGTATACCCTGATAAGAGATTATTGGCACAAGGAAGACTAACCAGAAGCAAGACATCCTATGTGGTTGTTTAGGAGTAAGTGCCTCTCTCTAGGTGGCCCTAGGTTGGAAAGAACAACAACTAAGGAAGCGGGCAGTGAGTGACCAAGTCCTGGCCTTTTGGGGCCATTTGCCACAGAGATTGTGATTGCTTTTCTAGACTGACTACTGCAGAGGTTGTGGGTCAGAGTTCTATTTTTATATGGGCTCTGGTCATTGTCCTTTTTTATTTTCAGTCTCTGACAAAAGTCTAAGTATCCTATTCTCTGCAGTACCTATCAGAATGCTGGGCACATCGCTCAATAAATATTTGATTTTGTTTGCTTCCAAGACATAGTTTAATGGATTGAGGTTTGCAATTAAAAAAAATATTGTATATGAAAGACTGCTTTTGAATGTGTCTCTTCCTGCATTTTATGAGGTAAATCATGTGCTACAGGGAAAGTCATAAACTTGGGAGGTTCTGAGATATCTCAGGTATGAGTGTTTATTGAACTCAACCAACACTGACAAAAGAAAAACCATTTGTTAACAGGTACAGCACACATATTTCAGGAGAAACCCCCATGAAGAATGACTCAAAGTGGTAGTTAGAACTTGGGCTAATATAGTGTCTTTATTTTTTTACAGATTTTATTTATTTATTCATGAGAGACAGAAAGGCAGAGGCATAGGCAGAGAGAGAAGTAGGCTCCCTGCGGGGAGCCCAATGTAGGCCTTGAGCCCAGGACCCTGGGATAATGACCCAAGCCAAAGGCAGACGCTCGACCACTGAGCCACCCAGGTGCACCACTAATATAGCATCTTGACAAAACAACAATAATTTGTGGAGAAATAACAACAGAAAACATTTTGAACTTTCAAAAGCACTAAATCATTGGAAGGTAAACATATGAGGGAAAGTAATGGAATGAAGGTTCATGCGGGTTCATCTTAGCACTGATCTGAAGATATTCTTCATGGCCACCAAACTTCCTTGGGCAAGAGGATTTCTGGTAGGCCTCATTTTTCATAAGTTTCAGAGTTTAGTCAGATAAAGGAAACTTCTGGGAGGCTTCTTTCTGCATCTATTAATTCTCATTTGTTCAAAATAATCCTCAAAATAATGCCAAAGTTGCATGTTTTGGAATGGCATAGTCTGGTCCCCTACATGAACAACTGGAAAAAGTGTGTCCAGAGGCACGTTATAAAACTGATTGGGTAGGGTACAGCATGTATGTTTAGAAGCAATGGGAAATGAAACAGATCAGGTGAGTTCTGGAGTTGCAGCATGCTCTGGAAACTAGGCCAGAGAGATTGGACTTTTATTGTGTATATAGTGGAACCTAAGAATTTCAAATAAGAGAGAA